GGATACTGGGTAATTAAGAGGGAGGATGCTGGGGATCCCCCCAGCATTCCACTGAGGAATTATCAGGGCAGATGCTGAAGGGATGCATGAGGTGGGTGTGGGGATATGGGGGGATGCAGGAGGGCTGAGCAGGGGTCAACCCTGACCCCGGGGTGAGGGGCTGGGGGGGCTGAGTTGTGCCTCCCTCTCCCGCAGATCATCTGCCTGGACCTGGCCGAGGAGATGGCAGTGCCCAAACTGGAGTCCTTCAACGGGTGAGTGTTGGGAGGTGCTCGGGGGGGTGCTGCTGGGCCCCGCTGAGCCCCTCTCCCCCCGTGGCAGGTCCAAGACCAACGCGCTGAACATCTCCCAGAAGATGATCGAGATGTTCGTGAGGACCAAGCACAAGATCGACAAGTGCCACGAGTTCGCGCTGGTGGTGGTGAACAACGACGCCACGTGGGTGAGAGGGGGACAGGGACGGGGCTGGGGACGGGCACAGCTCCATGCACCCCTCACCCTGCTCCTCTCAGCTCTCAGGGTTCACCTCGGACCCCCGCGAGGTTTGCAGCTGCCTCTACGACCTGGAGACCGTCGTCTGCAAGTCCTTCAGTATCCACCCGCCTGTGGGGCTGGGGTGGGGGTCCCTTGGGTGCCAGTGGGGTCCCTTGGGTGCAAACAGGGTCCCTTGAGCATCTGCAGGGACCCTCGAGGCTCCTCCCTGGCATCCTGAGCATCTGGAGGCTGGAGGGGGTCAAATGGAGCTGTTGAGGCCCCCCCAAGGCAGAGGGGTAACACCAGACCCTCCCCACCCACCAGACCCACATTTATTGATGTTTTCTCCCCATTTCCAGTGCCCAGTGACATCACCTCCCTCTGGGGGGGCTGCCTGGGTGTCCCGGTGCCAGCCTGGGGGGTTGGGATGTCCCTGGGGCGTGGGATGTGCCCGGGGGTGGGCAGAGGGGAGTCCATGTGCCAAGCTTGGTCCTTAACTGGGGTGCAGATCTGGAAGGACTCTTCAACCTGATGTGAGTACGTCTGAGGGGGCTCAGGGGTGCTGGGGGGGCTCAGGGCTGCTGGGTGGGGTCAGTGGGTGCTGGGGCAGTCTGGGGGTGCTGGGTGGGGGGCTCAGAGCTCCCACCTGGCTGCAGATTTCCCACTTTACACCCCGAGCCTTTAACCCGAAGGGCTCCTGGGGGTGGGTGCTGCTCCCCTGGGACGGTCCCTGAGCTGGGGGTGCCGTGGGGGTCCCTGATCCTCCTTCCCCTCCCCTGGCACAGCCAACAGAAGATTGAGCTGCCAGTGACAGAGAATGTCCAGACCATCCCCCCGCCCTACGTGGTCCGGACCATCCTGGTGTTCGGGCGCCCCGGGTGCCAGCCCCAGTTCTCCATGTCCGAGCACATGAAGGTGAGTCCTGTGGCACCACCTGGGGACAGGAGGGCTGGGAGGGACTGGGGAGGGACAGGAAGCTGAACATGGGCCAGGAAGGCCAGTGGTGTCCTGGTCTGGATTAGGAATAGTGATTCACCAGGGAGGTGATTCTGCCCCTGGACTGGGCACTCGTGAGGCCACCCCTGGAGTGCTGTGCCCAGTTCTGGCCCCTCAGTTTAGGAAGGACACTGAGTGTGTCCAAAGAAAGGCAACAAGGCTGGAGAAGGGACTGGAACACAAGTACTGTGAGGAGAAGCTGGGAGGGCTCAACCTGGAGAGAAGGAGGCTCAGGGGAGACCTCCTCACTTTCTACAACTCCCTGACAGGAGGGTGTAGGTGGGTATTGGTCTCTTCTCTCAGGCCACCAGCAGTAGGACAACAAGAGGACACAGTCTCAAGCTGTGCCAGGGGAGGTTTAGGTTGGACATTGGGAAGAAACTCTTCACAGAGAGAGTGATCAGACCTTGGAATGGGCTGCCCAGGGAGGGGGTGGACTCACTGTCCCTGGAGGAGTTTAAAATGAGACTGGATGTGCCACTCAGAGCCATGGACTGGGTGACAGGGTGGTGTTGGGTCACGGGTTGGACTCCATGATCTCAGAGGTCGTTGATTCTGTGCTGTGAGTGCCCCCTGTGTCCCCTCTGGGTGACCTCGGTGGCTCCAGGGTTGTCCCTGGAAAAGCTCCCTGGTTCCCTTGCAGAAGATGCTGCAGTGCCCCTACTTCTTCTTCGACGTGGTTTACATCCACAACGGCCTGGAGGAGAAGGAGGAGGAGACGAGCTGGAAGGTACAGCGGGCAGGGGGGATTTCCTGGGAGACCCTGGGCTCAGCAGGAGCTCTGTGCTCTTGGGAGGGATTGCTCCCTCACCTTGAGTAAGGAATTCTCCATGTCAGAAAGGTGCCAGCCAGAACTGGGTCACACTGGGGGGGAGACCAGCCTACCCCCCACCCTTTCCTTGGGGCTGGTAATCCTGACAAATGGGGGGCTGGTAATGCTGAAAAATGAGGAGGCAGGGAAGGAAGAACGACCCTGAATTCCTGGGGGGGCTCTTTTGAGGCCAGCCCATGGCCTGGGGAGGGGTTTGAAGGGGCTCTTTGGGGCCAGTCCCTGGGCCTGGGGAGGGGTTTGAGGGGGCTCTTTCAGGCCACCCCCAGACCTTATGGTGCTTTAGAGGGAGACTACTCTGTAAAAAGTAGGACAAAACTCAGGATGATGCAGAACAAGCCCATTCCTGGGGGGATCCCAGCGGGGTTCTCTGACCCTTGTTGGGGGGGAAACTGCCATGGCAGGGCCACCCCCTGCCCACCCTTCCAGTCCCTCCCGTGCCCTCCCCAGGAGATGTACGGCTTCTTCAGCAGCCTGGACACCAAGGGCACCAACTACAAGTACGAGGTGCCGCTGACGGGGCCGGCGGTGGAGCTGCACAACTGCATGGCCAAGCTGCTGGCACACCCCCTGCAGCGCCCCTTCCAGAGCCACGCGGCCTACGGGCTGCTGGAGGAGGACGAGCCCCCCGAGGTCGAGGCCACCGTCTGAGCCCCCGGGGAGGGGGTGGGGATGGCTGGGGAGGGGGCGTCGTGGCGGCTCCTGCGGGGTTTTGTTGGGACGGGGAAAGAGAGGTGTTTGCCTGACTGGTGGTGTCGTGGTGCTGCTGCGGGGTCTGGGCTCGGGGTGGGGACTGGGGGTGAGGGGTCACCCCTCCCGGCCCTGTGTGGGTGCTGCTGGGTTTTGGGAGGTGCTGGGTAGAGTTGGTGAGGAGTTCTGGGAGGCACTGGGCAGTGCTCATTCAGGGCACTGGGAGCACTGGTGCAGGCACTGGGAGCACTGGGAGCGCTGGTGCTGGGAGATACCGACGCCGGCCGCTGGGGGGCGCTGAGGGTCAGGGGGCGGGGAGTGCTTTGGCTCCGCCTCCCCGGTGAAAAGTGGGTGTGGCCGCCCTCGACCGGCTCCCATTGACTCCTCGCCAGCCAATGAGCGGCGGCGCGGGGGGTTTGAACGTGCGCGGGGCGGGATGAGCGGAACGTAAGGGGGGGACACCGGGGGGGTTCAGGGGGGACACCGGGGTCGGGGGGGGACACCGGGATCCAGGGGGGACATCGGGGAATACCGGGACGGGGGGGACACGGGGGCACACTGGGACACGGGAGGGGTACCGGGACCGATACCAGGATCAGGGGGGACACCGGGACCGGAGTGGGAGCACCGGGACCATGGACACACACTGGGGCCGGGAGGAGACACCGGGACCGGGGGGTGACACCTGGACAAGGAGAACGCACCGGGACAGGGGGGATACCGGGACAGGGGGGATACCGGGACAGGGGGGAGTGCTGCAGCACGGGGGGAACCCCAACACCGGGGACCTGCCGGGGCCACGCAGGGTCCGCCCCGACGGTGCTGGAGCCCCGCTGCGGGGTGGTGGCACTTGTGTGACCCCCGGGGGCGCCCGTGACCTTCCTCGACCTGCGGCCCGGGCTGGGGGTGACCCCCGCTCCCGATCCCACACTCCAGGCGTTCCCGGGAGCTGACGCCGCTCCACGAGGCCGCGGCCCGGGGGTGCCGCCGGTGCCTCGGGCTCCTCCTGCGGGAACGGGGGCACCTGCGGGACCAGGTGAGTGGGGACAGGGACAGCCCTGGGCACGGGGACAGCACCCACGGGACCCTCCTCGTCCGTGGAGTGGGGGAGCTGTGTCACCCCGTGGTGGTGGCCCTGGCGGCAGTGACAGCGATGTCCCCTCCCCGCAGGATGGAAAACAGGCCGTGGATGTGGTGCTGGAGCAGGGCTGGCCCCTCGTGGAGGGTGAGGTCCCCTGGGTGCCCCCTTGGCTGGGGTTGGGGGTCCCACCCAGCCCCCCAGTTTGGACTGGGCACTGATTCCCATCCCTGTCCCCAGCCCCGGGGGGGCACAGGAGGACCCTGTCCTTCCTGACCGAGGATGACTCCGATGGCAGCATCTCCCCTGGGCTCCCTGAGGACAATTCCGAGGCCGGACCCCTCAGCAGCACCCGCAGGTCCCTCCTGGAGGAGCAGGAGCTGGGGGGCTGCTGTGTCCCCCCACTGTGGCAGGACCGTGCTCCAGAGCCCTTGTCTCTCCCCCCATGGCTCCAGGGGGACCCCAGGGGCTCTGCTGTCCCCCCCCAGCCCCTGGCCTCCAGCACACTGCTCTGGGACAGGGATGAGCTCCAGGAGGGACCCCCGAACTGGACTGGGGGGGGAAGGATGGGACCACCCCCCTGGGCTCCCCCCCAGCCCAGTGTTGGGGACATCCGTGCCCCCTGCCCCCAGTTTGGCCCCAGTGGGTCCCTGAGGGACCCCCGGTGCTGCAGCAGGACCTTGGGGGGGCACAGAGCCCCCCTGCCCTGCCGTGACCTGAGCAGCTGCTCCGAGATGTCCCCGAGCCCTGGTGACAGTGACATCCCTCAGCACCGCCCCGGTGTCCCCTGGGGAGGGGTGGGGGGTGCTACCCCCAAAATGGGGGGGGTAGTGCCCAAGGTGGGGGTTGGAGTTTGGGACTCCGGCAGCCCTGGGGACCCTGACAGCCCTGGGGACAGCAGCAGCCCTGGGGACAGCAGCAGTGCCACCGAGTGCTTTGTCACTGCTCTGGGTTCCCTGGAGCCCAGTGAGGCCGGGGGGGGCCGGGGGGCTCAGCCCCGCTGTTCCCCCCCGCCCCGGGCAGCCGGGGGGCTGGGAGGGGGTGCAGCCCCCTCCCCAACGGGAGCTGCCCCCCGGGAGCTGCCCCCTGCCAGCCCCCCCCTCGCGGAGCAGGCTCAGGGTGATGGTTTCTGGGGCGGCTCCGGGGCAGCCCCTCGCTCCGGGGGGGGCCCAGGAGCGGGTGATGTGGGGGAGCTGCTTGCCCGGCTCCAGGGCTGCAGCCTCCGGGGGTCCCCGCCCTGCACCCCGCGGTCCCCTCTCAGCCCGGCCGGTGTCACCGCTGGGGATGTCACCCCCCGGGGCCAGGAGCCCCCCGGGCACCGCCACATCACCCCCAGGACCAGGAGCCGCCTCCGGGCGGTGGCAGAGCGGCTCAACTCCTCCTCCTCCTCCTCTTCCTCCTCCCTCTTCAATGGGACGCTGCCGATGCCCCGGAGACCCCCCAGGATCAGATCCCCCCGGGGGGTCCCCAGGGACCCTGTCACCCCCCCGGGACACTGTGTCACCCCGCGGGACGAGGATGTGTCCGGGCAGGACGGAGAGGGGACAGACTCTTTGGAAGACACCCAGATCCTGCCCGGAGCCCCCAGTTCACCCCCGGGGGGGGGTCGGCAGCTCCCCCGGCTCCAGCCCCACGGTCCTGCTGTGCCCTGGGGACCCCGGGCCCCCTCCGAATCCCCCATCAGGCCCTCGGGGCTCCCCCCACCCCGAGGTGCTGGAGGGTGGCTCTGGGTGGCAGCAGCACTCGCCCTCGGGGACACCCCAGTTCCAGTGGCCCCACGGGAGCTCCAGGCGCCTTTTGGCCCCACAAGCATCCAGCAGTGCCCGGGGGGACCTGGGCACCCCGTCCATGCCACTGTCACCCCCCGGCTGTGGTCCCCACTGCTCCAGGGGGCATCGAGACGACGAGGGGCAGGGACTGTCACCCCCCGAGTGTCACAGTCCCGGCACAGGGGCCACCCCCAGCCCCGAGGACGCCCCGGGCCGGGATGGCCGAGTGTCCCCGGTGTCCCCGGGGCCCCTCTCGGACCAAAGTCTGCGGCGGCGGCTGCGGGAGCTGGGGGAGGAGCCGGGACCCGTCACCGACCTCACCCGGGGGCTTTACCGGCGGCGGCTGCGGGAGCTGGGCACGGGACGCGGCGGGGAGCCGGGGGGTGAGTCTGGGCATCCCATCCTGGGGGACTCACCCTGGGGTTCCCATCCGACCTGGCAGCTCCCGGTGGGAGTGGGGATGGGGGTTGGGGGCCGTGGGGATGGGTACGGGGGGCTGCGCTGAGCCCACGATGATGGGCACGGGGGGCTGCACTGAGCCCATGGTTTCGGCCACGAGGCTCACAGTGGTCCCCAATGCTGGCACGGCCCCCCCAGGGCACAGCCCGGAGCTGGTGGCTGCGCTGAGGACCGGCCACATCCCCGACTGTGCCCAGGACGAGCTGGCACTGGCGCGGCAGTTCGAGCGTCCCGACCGCGGCCGGCGCTGGCGGGAAGGGCTGCTCAAGTCCAGCTTCAACTACCTCCTCCTCGACCCCAGGTAGGGCCACGGCGCCGTGCCTGCCGTTCCCTGTGCCAGCAGGGCCCGAGGGGGGACTCCTGCGAGGCATCGAGGCTCTGAGGTGGGGTTTGCACCTCCAGGACCACCCGGGACCTGCCCCTGCGCTGCCCCCGCCTGAGCCCCGCCCAGCGCTTCCAGACCTTCGTCAGCGCCGTGTTCTACGTGGGCAAGGGCACCCGGGCCAGGCCCTACTGCCACCTGGCCGAGGCCCTGGGCAGCACCGGGCAGGGACACGGCGGGTGGGGAGGGCTGGGGGCTGGGGAGGGTGGAGGTGGGGGCTGGGGGCTCTGGGGATGGGCATGGGGGGCACGAGGCTGTGGGGAGGGGTGTGAGGGCTGCACTGGGGGGGCTGAGTGCTGTGGGGATGGGCATGGGGGACCTGAGGCTGTGGGGATGGGCACAAGGGGTTGGGGACCACGGTGAGGGACGTGGGGGGGCTGCACCAGGGGCTTGATGATGGGCCATGGTGATGGGCATAAAGGGGGGGCTTGGGGACACGGTGACAGGCACAGGGGGCTGGGGACCATGGGTATGGGCACGAGGGTGGGCACTGGTGGCCCTGCTGACAGTCCCTGCTGTCCCACAGGGCTGCCCCAAGGTGCGGCGCATCCTGGAGATCTGGGAGAGCGGACACGGCGTCATCTCCGTGCTCTGCTTCCAGAACAGGGTCCCGGCCGAGGCCTACACGAGGGAGGGCTGCATGGTGGAGGCGCTGGGTGAGCAGGGTGGGGGGATCCTGGGGCTGCCCCGACCCCCAGCACAGCCCCCGGCGTCGGCTCTGCTGCTGCCCCCGCTCCCCACGTCCCTCTGCCACCCCTGCAGGAGCCGGGGGCTGCAGGGGGGCCGTGGAGGGGGGTGCAGCCCATCCTGGGGACTTTGGGATTCCCAGTTCCCAGGGCAGGGTCTGGCACAGCCCCCCGACCCCCCATTTCCAGTGGGAAAAGCTGCCTGGGGGTGGGTGATGGTGGGGGGTGTGGGGCTACCTCTGTCCTCACAGGGCTGTGGGTGCTGGTGGGGAGCAGGGGGCCGGGTCCGTGGGTGCCTGACCCTGTCCCCGTGGGTGCTGTCCCCCTCCCCACAGGCCTGCAGACCCTCACCAACCAGCGCAAGGGGCACTGCTATGGCGTGGCCGCGGGCTGGGCGCCCGAGCGGCGCCGGCGCCTGGGGGTGCACATGTTGTACCGGGCCATGAGCATCTTCCTGGCCGAGGGCGAGCGGCAGCTCCGGCCCGGGGACATCCCGGGGAGGTGACAGTGCTCGGGGGGGTGGGGGTGGGGGGCAGCTTTTATGTCGTGACCGCTGCGAAGATTTGTTTCTGTTTTTCTATTTCCCCGGCCGGGTGATCAATAAATCGCTGCGGGGCTGGGTTTGCCTGAAGAATTCCCAGTTGTGGGAGATTCCTGGCTTCGCATCCCTGCTCCGCCGCGCACGGAGACAAGGAGGACACCCCCCCCACCCCGTCCCCAGCAGGCAGTGGGACACGGCTGGGCTGTAGCACGGCTTTACTGGGTGGAATGGCACTAACGCGGCGTCGGCGGCGGGTTCCGTGTGCGTTTGCCTCGGCTTTAGCAACAAGCGATGTGGGGACAGAGCCCGTGGGGGACAGAGCTGGCAGAGCTGCGACCCCCTGGCTGGCCGGGGAGGGGGGGGCACGGCGGGGGTAGAGCCGTGTCTGGGGGGACGTTTGGTGGCGTTTCTGGGCACCCTCTGCAGCCCCGGGGTGTGCTGGGGGGGGGGTCTCCCTGGGCTGGACGGGGTGGGAGGGGGCAGAGGGAGATGATCTGAACCCAGGGGGCTTAAAATTCTCATTATGAGACAGCAGTGGGAAGGGCAGGCACTGGCAGAGGGGGTGCAGGGGACACGTCACTCGGGGTCTGATGGACCCTTCCTCTTCCACATCCCTCATTTTGGGGACAAGGGTGGGCTCAGCCCCGGGGAAGGTGCTTTGCAGGGTGATCCCAGATCTGTTGGGAGCAGCCCTGCCCAGGAGGACCCCCCTGAGCCCCCCGGGGGTGCCTCGGTGCGGTGCCAGCCCCGTTCAGGGCACGGGGGCCTGGTGGGATGGGGGCCGAGGGCGAGGTTTCCGCGGGACTCGTCGTTTCTTTGGTTTAGATGGGGGGAGTGAGGGGCAAACAAAGCGGGAGCGGGGCGGGCGACGCTGGGCCTGTCCCCGGGAACAGCATCCTCCCGGTTTTCCAGGAGCCCCGGGAAGCTGAGATGGCACTTCCTGGGTACCTCCTCCGCCCCGCCCAGCTCCCGGCAGCGGGATGGGAAGCACAGGGGTGGGAGGTGACGGGTTATGTACAGAACAGTGTCAGTGATGGTGTCTGTTGGGATCAGGTGGTCCTGGTTCGCTTCCTCGCTCCCGTGTTGCTCCGAGACCCTGCGGATCCGTCCGGGAGCCGTCGGGAGGGACGGACACAGCGGCCACGGGACGGGGTATTGCTGCTCCCCCAGCGCACGGGGGACGGGGGTGATCCCAGGGGGAGTTTGTGGTGGGTCCCGGAGCCGAGGAGGAGCTGGGGAGGTGGGGGTGGCTCCGGGGGGGCTGCGGCAGCGGGAGGGGGAGCGGGGGCTCTGCGGAAGCGCTGCGGGACCTGAAGCGATGGAGGCGGGACCGCGGGGGGGACGTGGGAGAGCTCAGGCTCGGCCCTGCCACAGCCAGGCCGGTCCCACCGCGGTCCTGGCCGTGCCCACGGAGGCAGGACACCTCCTCATCCTCTGTGCAGGAGCTGCTGCCATCCACGAGGAGCCCCTCGAAGCCGGGTCGTGGCTGTCCCATCCTCCCGGGTGGCTCGAGAGGCACATCCCGCTGCTGAGGCCGAAGAGACTTTGGCTTCCCCTTTAAAGCAATCCCAGCTCAGGTCCTCCCGCCCTCCTGGAGCCCCTGCGAGTCCTTCCCGTTCTGCCGCGGGTGGGACCAGTCCCCGGAGGTGTCGCTGCGTGAGGAAAATAACACTACAAAGGAACAGGATGAAGACGCTCCGGCGCCGTCCCCGCGGGGGTGGGGACCAGGTCTGCCGTGTTCCCGCTGCCGGCCCTGCACTCCCTGCCCTGGGGGAGCCTCCCTGCTCCCCCTCCAACCTCCGGCACGGCCGGGAAACCAAACGGGCTGCGCTCCCGACGAGGGCAGCCCCCGGAGCCCCTCCGCTCTCACAAACCCCTCTGCGCTCCGAAACATCTCTCCCATGGGAGCAGCCCGGTCTCCGTGTCCCGCTGCCTTATTTCTTCTCCCCGTGCCCGTCCCCAGCTGGCGTCTCGGGCTCCCACAGGACGAACTCGTGGAGCAGCGTGTTCACCGTCTCGGGGCACTCCATCATCACCATGTGGCTGCCCTCGTCGATCACCTTCAGGAAGGCGATCAGCAGGATCTGCGGAAGAGGGGGGCGGTGGCACAGGGTCAGTGCTGGGAGGAGTCCCCCGGGCGATCCGCCCCCGGCCCCACTCACAGGATCGACACGAAAAGACCTCTGAGGCCCCGGAGCGCAGCCTCTCACCCCGCCCCGTACCTCGGCCATCCTCTGGTCCTCCTCCACCGGGACGAACTTGTCGTGCATGCCGTGGACCAGGAGCACGGGCACGGCCAGCTCGGCGTGGTACACCTCGTCCCCCTCGGGCCAGTACTGCCCGCTCATCATGGCCCGCAGCACGAAGGACGAGACGTTGAAGGCGTTGCCTTCCTTCAGCAGCTGCTTCTCTTTGGCACCTTGGCGGGCAAAGCCGGCCCTACGGGAGGGAGTCGGGGGTCAGCCCGACCTCGGGGGCATGGGGGAAGGACGAGGCGTCCCTGCCCCAACCCTCCCCCTCGCCAGCGTGGCCACTCACTTGAGGAAGCTCCAGGCCAGGCAGGGGGACAGGCAGTGCAGGACACACGTGGGCATGTTGAAGATGGAGCACAGGCTGGGCTCCAGCGCCGTGGGGCCCCCACCATTGATCATGATCACCTTATGGACCAGGTCTGGGTACTCGTGGGCGAGGAAGGTGCAGAAGGACACCCTGCGGGGACAGACAGACATGGGGACCACGTCCTGACCCCCGCGGTGGGGAGGGCCTGGCACAGGTTGCCCTGAGAAGCTGTGTCTGCCCCAGCCCTGGAAGTGTCCAAGGCCAGGCTGGATGGGGCTTGGAGCGACCTGGGCTAGTGGAAGGTGTCCCTGCCCGTGGCAGGGGGGTGGCACTGGGTGGGCTTTACGGTCCCTTCCCACCAAAACCATTCCAGGATTCTGTGATCCCAAGGATCCATGGCTACACCCCTTTGTTTGACCCGCGCTCCCCCTTTCTGGGGCAGGGGACACAAACCCCCCAGCAGAGGGGCTGAGCTGGGTCTTTCACTCCTGCCCAGAGCAGAGCAGGGTGCTGGGACCCACTTGGGTGCCCGCCAGCCTGACCCAGCCTTGTCCTGGTCTAATCCTGCCCGTCTCCAAGCCGGCTCCAGCTCCCTCTCCTCCCAGGCACTGCTTAGTGTCTGTCTAATTGACTTTCTTGGGCTTACCCTATTTATAGGCCGTGCTCTGCCAGCTTCCCCACTGGAGGCCAGGCTCTGGGATTAGCTGGGCCCAGGGACACCCCCCAAGAGGATGTAGGAGATCAGAACCGAGGGATAAACCCAGAACAGGAACCCCCACGCCCCCGAGGCGCGGGATCTGTTCGCTGCCAAGGAGGGGACAGGGGGGTGGATCCATCCCTTCTCCGGGCCCCTTACCCGTAGGAATGTCCTATCAGGATGTTCCTCTTCTTGGCATAGCGCTTGAACACGGCCCTCATGTCCTCGGCCAGGGCGTAGAAGGTGTAGGCGGCGGCAATCTGGGGGGCCGAGCTGCAGCCGTGCCCCGCCAGGTCCGGGGCCACCACCTCGTAGCCCAGCTTGGTAAAGAAGTCCAGCTGCTCCTTCCAGATGTCCAGGGAGCCGCCCACGCCGTGGATGAAGAACAGCACCACGTCGCCGTGCGTCCCCTTGCAGCTCGTGATCCGCTTCCTGCAGTCGATGTTCACCACCTTCTTGGGCTTGCGCTTGCGGCGCTTCCCGGGCGCCGCGTCCCGGGCGCCGCATCCCGGCGTCCCGGCCGGAGCCTGGCCGGCCGCCTCGGACAGCTCCAGCTCCACGGTGCCGCCGGGCTCGGCCGCGCCGCCGGGGCAGGGCAGGATCTCGGAGCGCACGGCGTCGCCCAGGTTCTCGATCACCAGCTGCCCGTTGCGGTACAGGGTGATCCTGCGCTTGCAGTGAACCACCCCCCGCTCCGGCGCCCCGGGTTGTGCCTCCTCGGGCTCCTCCGGGGCCGGGCGGGCGGGAACGCTGTGCCTGACCCGCAGGATCCGCCCCGGCTTCACCTCCACGAAGCTGTAGCCGTCGCCGGACTCAACGCTGTCCAGCGGCCCCACGGCGTTGGTGGTTTTGCCCATGAGGCAGCACAGGAGCCCATCGGTGATGCTGTTCAGCATTATGCTCCCTGCAGAGAGGGGTGACAGGGAAAAGGGGGGTTAGGAGGCGGCTCCAGCACCCAGAGGGGTCCTGGCTGGGGCACAGGGGAGCAGGGACAGCCCTGTCCCCTCTCCTCTGCTGCCGGCCCCGGGAAGAGCAGTGGTGGCACAGAATGGGGACGCCTTTGGGGTGATGGTGATGCTCCCCAAAATCACAGCCCTGCTCAGCCTCCTGCACGTGGGCTGAGGGGTCAGATCCCAGGGGGATCCAGCATTCCCTGTCCTGCTCTGTCCTGGCCATGTCCTTGTCACCCAGCAGCCCCCGTCACGCAATCGCAGCCCCCCGAGGAGGGATCTGCTCTGACCGAGGGGAGAAACACAGAAGAAAAGCCTGTTTGAGACAAAAAACTCTCTTTTTAGCACCAAATATGGAGCGAAGGGAAGAGTCAGTGCTGGGGATGCATTATTTATACCAATTAAATATATATATACACATGTCTCGAGCCTGAGCCACCGATCCAGCAGCGAGGTGGGAATGACAGCGACGGGAGATGAAGGATTTAATTAAAACCACTCCACAAACCACGGCTGAAAATAACAGAGCAAGAGAAGGAGCGGGGAGGGAACCCCCTCCCACATCCCCACGTGGGCTGGGGGGGGATGTGACACTGCCCTTGGTGTCCCCAGGGCTCATTCCTTGGCTTTGGATGGGGGGGACCACCGAGCCTGGGGAGGGGGGAGGCTGGTGGCAGTGGGGACACCGATGCCAGGCCTGGAGCCCGCTGGTGCCAGAGGGGCTGGAAGGTCCCTGGATGGCAGCCGGGAGGGTGTTAATTATTGATGAGGCAAAACACGGTGAATTATTGATGCCAGCGGGCAGAGAAGCGGAGCGGGCGCCGTGCAAAGGGCTGGGCCTGCAGGAGGGGGCACTGGGCGCCCACTGCCATCCCCCTGGAGGAGGAGAAGCGTGTTCCCAGCTGGGAATTTAATGGATAAATCCCAGTGATCCTTCAGGAGCAGCCCCTCAGCTCCCCTGAGCAGCCTGACAGGGTTACAAGCATCGGGCTGGCAGATTATGCCAAGGAAAACCAGGCTGGAGGCAGGTTGGGAGTGCAGGGGTCCCTCTCTGTGGATTTTAACACTCATTCCATCTGGGAATGCCAACACCAGACCCTCCTCAGTGACTCCCACGGACCCAAACACACCCAGGGACTGGACAGGCTCCCAGGTGCTCCAGCCCCAGCACAACCCCCTGCTCGAGGGTTTTCCCAGGAAACCCAGCCTGTTTGCTCCAGGCAGGCCATGCTGGTAACAGTTCCCTTGGCAAGGCCAGGGTGGTTTATCCAGGGAGTGCTGCCAGCCCTGGGAACAGCAGCCAGTGTTTGATTCTCACCCAGCTCTGTCGGTGTCCTGACTCCCCCAAACACCCCACCAAGGATCGGGTCCTGGATGTGGGGATTGGGAATGAGCAGAGCTGGGCCTGGGGGCTCCTTCTCCTTTGGGGCTCCCCTGGCACTGGGCAGGGCAGGCCCAGCTCTCTGTGGGATCAATAGTCTGGATACAAACCCATCCATGCAGGATCCGGCTGCACCGAAAGCCCTCTGGCTCCCTGGATGCTCCAGGGATGGACCCACCCAAGCTGCTGAGCTTGGAGGTCTTGGAGCCCTGGGAAGGAGAAGCCAAATCCAGAGCTGGCTGGCAGAAGCTGTGCTTCCAGTTGGGAGCTGGGCCCGAGGAACTGGCACCAGCCTGACTGGAGCCCTGGCTGGAGGATGCCCGGCTGCCCTTGCACTGTCCCTGCTCCATGCCAGCCTTGGGAGGCTCTTGGCCCCTGAACTCTGAGCTGGGAATGCTGAACAGAGGGATGGGATGGGCAGAAAATGGGTAGATGGGAACTGAGGCAGCCCCTGAGCCCCTGCATCCCGCACAGCCCCAGGTATCAGCCCATGGAGCCGGGATGTGATCCCGGCTCTGATTCCCACAAAGCCTGTCCTGGCACCGAGCCCCCACTCCACAAGGTCCCGGGGATGTCGGTGTGGATTATAACCAGGAGCCCTGGCCAGCCCGCCCCGACATTGATTAACTCCTCGGGATTAACTCAATTAGTCCCTCCTGTTCATTCCCAGAATTGATCTGCTGGAAGGCTCTGGCAGCGAGGAGCTCTGCAGGCACATCCAGGGGCTCAGGCTCCGGCCTTGGAGGTGCCCTCCAGCATCCCTGGCACTGGGCAGGAGCCCGGATCCCTCTGCAAGAGGGGGATCCCACTCCAAGGGGGGTATCCAAAGGGGGATATCCACTCCAAGGGGGGTATCCAAAGGGGGATATCCACTTGGATACACCCAGGCTGGACATCCTGGTCCAGGATGTGGCTGTCCCTGACGTGTATCTGAGCAAACAAATGAGGGAATTGTGGAATCGTTAAGGTTGGAAAAGCCCTCTGAGATCATGGAATCCAACCATTCAGCAGCACCACTGAGCTGTGTCCCCGAGTGCCACATCCACACACGCCTTCCGAACACTTCCAGGGACAACATGGAGCACATCCCGGCCGGGGGCGTTCGTGGGAACGGGAGGGACGGGAGGTAAAGCGGCTCCGTGTCGGGCCTTGTTTTGGGGCTGGGAAGCAAAAGATTCCCGTCTCCCACCTCCCACACACCTCCTCGAACCCAGCGCTCCGTCTGCCGCCGAGCAGGCAGCCAGAAACATCCAGGGATGTTCCCTGGGCGAGATGAAAGGGGCTGGAAATGAAAGCAGATGGATGCGAGGAACTTTGCAAGGATGTGGGTAACCATGGCGACGAGCTGCTTCCCCCCCATCCCGGCTCCCTCCATCGCCGCTCCCGGCTGGGAGCGGGATTTCGGCACCGGTTACATAAGGCCAGGCACAACAATGAGTCAGGCACGGCGGGATCCTGCCCTCGGATCTGTCCCATCCCTGTCCCGAGGGCTTGGGAAGGTGGTGGCATCGCCCCGAGGCCGTACCCAAATTGTGGTTACCCCCAAAAAAAGAATCCCACCTGGCCCCAGGAAACCGCTCCCAGCAGGGATGGGATGTCCGAGGGATGCTGGGGAAATATCCCAGGATTCAGCCCTGGCCCTAGTCCCAGGGCATCCATGAGGAGTTCCCTGGCTGGGAGGAATAACCCGGCTGGGGGAAAAACAACTTCCTGACCTACTTCGGGGCTGCAGAGCCTCGGCTTTGGTGCCACGGGCAGGGACCGTGGTATGGTTGGGGAAACATGGGATGAGATGGGATGTGGCAGCGAGGAGGGAGGAGAGGCTGAGGGGGGAACGTGACAGGCGGGGACATGGGGCTGGCACAGGGATGTGGGGCTGGCACAGGGATGTGGGGCTGGCACAGGGATGAGGGATTACACAGGGATGTGGGGATGGCACAGGGATGTGGGGCTGGCACAGGGATGGGGGGCTGGCACAGGGATGGGGGGATGGCACAGGGATGGGGGGCTGGCACAGGGGTGGGGGGATGGCACAGGGATG